TTAATGTAAGCTTATTTGTTTGGTCATCTCACACGTTTTAATTTTTAAGTTTAGTAGTTTGTTATTTATATTATTATATTTTATTATTTTAAATCTTTGCTCACTCACATCTATTTTCTCCCTCACAGGTTTACAGCTCAACCTCTAAAGTCCCATATCTGGCTGAGGAGACTGTGGATCATCCAGGTACTATGCCTTTAGATGCCTATACACACATTAAAATGATGTACAGTAAAAATTACTAGTAATTTTAACTACTAATTATTTAGTAAATTACTAATTGTCATTTCATGTCATTTAGAACATCACCAGTGGAAAAAAAAGGTGTGAATGCATCCTCAAAGCCCCTAAGTGAGAGAGTACATGGTAAGCTATTTTATTTTATTTTTTTAAACATTTTGTATTTTCCTCTTAAACCAATTCCTCCTTTCACCTTTGATCTGTTGGTAAATGTTTTATTTTTTTACCTGACTTTTTTAGGATGCTGGGCATGATGAAGCGCAAACCTTGATGTGCAACACCACCTTATGAATCTACAGTAGTTACATTAACATTTAGCTGACTCTTTTGTCTAAAGTGACTTACAATTGAGGACACATTCAGGAAATCAACAAGAAGAGGCAATGCATCCAAGATGTGCTAATTATAAAAAAAAAAAAAAAAGAATTAAGAATGCTTCTGTGTAGATGAATGTGTGTAGCTATTGCATGTTCTGTGATGGTTGGTCTGATTTATGGTGTAGTGCTGATTGTGTTACTTTGCTTTAAAATGTTAATCTTTCTTTGAACAACTGAAGTGTTATCTGCTTTTTCAGTGTAAAGAAGGTACAGTATAGTTTACAAAAGAAGACTTAATTTTTCTAAGTATATTTTTGATAAATCATTTGAAGGCAGAATATTATTTTTGAATGTTTTTTGTAATATATGAAAAGTATTATTTTTTAAAAGTGTATTTTATGATGCTTTTGTAAGCATATTTTTGTAAATCATTTATTGTTTTTAATTTACTTCATACTTGTATTACTATTATTTTAATAGTATTAATATTTTAACTTATTGTAATAAGTGAAGATACAGATTAAGACAGTATTTGGATTTTGATAATCATATTATTGCTGGAAAATATGTAAAACTGTAAAAATGCTATTGAATAAACTCAATGAAACGGAAACTGTTTTTTTATTTGGTTAAACATAACAATATCAATTTTAGAATAATTGAACTTAAATAACTACATTGATTAAAGCTAAATTATAAATGTTACGTTGATTGAACTAAACAACATTACATTACCTTTATGTAACTAACTTAAGTTCACTAAAATTAATATTCTTTCTTAAAGGTAACTTAACTCGGTTACGTGGAACCAGTGGACAAAAAAAAGTTAATTAACGCCAACATATCATTTTTTTGAGTGTAGGGTGTCTTTATCATAACATTTGTTATAAAGAAATTGCATTACATAATTACCACAAATGTGCCTAGTGTTATAGATTTTATAGTATATCGACAAAGCACGAACTGATTTTCGGCTCAAAGTCCTTTGCCAATTATTTCCCTCTTTCTGCTGCCTATGATCCAGTCAACACTCTACACTGTTCTATCCATAAATTTAAAAAAATAAATAAATAAAAATAAATAAAAAAGTGAAATAGATCTTGAAAAATGTTAACATTAGCCTGATGGCACTAAAAGCCTATGTCCAACCCTGCAAATCGCCATTGAAAGTCACACCTCCTAAATGCATAAATGCCTAAATGTGTCAGAACATCACTACAATACTAAGGGTGTCACGATCCTCCAAATCCTCGATTCGATTACATTTTCGATTCCAAAGTCATGGTTTGATTCGATTTTTGATTATGAATATTTAATTAATTAATAACAAATTAATTATTTGTAGCCTACCGTTTAAACTACCTGACCTGCATGGTCTTCGTTTTACCCATAAACAAATTATACAGTAAATGACTAAAGGCGAATTACACACATAATTATCACCTGTCAATCACTTTTTTTGCAGGACTCGTGAATAGGCAGAGATCTGTGTCGTTATAATGGTGTTATAATGGTGTCGTTATAAAGGTGCACAACCAACAGGAACCAGTTAACAGTATCTGAGGTGTTTGCTAAAATGACTAAGTACAAGTGAGTGAAAGATTGAAGCAGTCTACTGATCTTCTGACTATCTGGACCTGCTTCCTCGAGCGCATGGCTGTGTGTGCATCTGTGTCTGTGTCTGTGTGTGTGCGTGTGTGTGTGTGTAGTCACGTGATGTGCGTTTTCAGAGGTAGTGAGGAAGGAGGGCTGCTCAGAAATGCTACACGCCACTGTGGATGTCAAATCGTTGTAGTTCTAAAGTCCCGTCTAAAAACAGACCCATTAGTGTAAACAGGGCCTGAGTGTGTACTTTTCACGAGCGGATTTGCAACGGGGCCGGAGGATCGCCATGCCGGTGTCGTCTATCGGACGAACCCTAATCCGTACATAGCAGAGCTTGCAAAACTGTGTTTTTTTGGCGACAACATGAACGTTGTCAACATAACTAACTGGAAATCCAAAATACTTCCACACCGGCGACTTCATTGAAAGAGGAGAGGGTTTAAGCTCTGTCGACGGGTCTCCTGCGTCTGCAGTTAAACAAGCACTTCAACAAGCGTGCTTTTTCCCGCTTGGCAAGCCAAGCCGACGTGACATGGTGGCGTGGCAGCATCAACGTTTCTATTTTTTGATTCGATAATTAAAATTGAGCATAAATTTCGATCGATTTTGATTTAAAATCGAAATCGTAACACCCTTATACAATCCATCATATCCAACATTCACCAGAGAGAACATTTGACAGTACATTTAATTAGGTAGGTTGTTGTTGTTTACCTGTCCTTTTCAGTCTAAACTCGATCTTTAAACCAGCCATTAAGGTCACGGTTACACTGTCAGCTCTTGATGCCCAATTACTATTTGTTGCCTATATCTTTTTGCCTGTCTGTTTACACATTCTTTTAATTGTAACCCATATCCAATTCATTTACACTTGACATAACAATTTACGACAACACGCATGTGTAAAAAGGCAGATTCTAGCATCTGCGCCACACTAGCAATAATGGAGGAAATTGTCTTGCTTTCAGCTCTGCGAAATAAGCAAAGTTCGCCCAACTTTAAAATGATTTTGAGGTGGAGGGGAAGAGCCGTCATTGCAGTTTGCACCTATGATTTATATATGGTGTCCTCCACCATTCAGAGGAATTTGTGGGTACGAGAGAGATCTCAGGTCTGGTGGGAGTAAATTGTGGCGGACTTTAATGAGGAGCGGTGGGTCTAAAATTTTAGGATGAGCAAAGCAGCATGCGATTTGTTGCGTCAAAGCTTGTCCTCATACCACTTTCCTCCTCCATGTTTCCTCTGTTGTTGTGGTTTACTACGTCGGCTTTTTCACACACGCTCTCCCTTCTTTGTCATTAATCCGCGGAGATGCACCGCATTGTTGCAAGTTTCATTACATGCAAAACGGAATGCTTCAATAAATCTGATCTGCCTGTTTACATGATAGTCGCATTGTCACATATCCGATTTATTTTCACATATAAAGGAGGCCTAAAACCGATCTCTGAATATCTGAACGCATGTGTTTTTTTTGTGTTTACATGGTCATCAATTGGAATTGGGTCACATTTAACTGGCAGTGTAAACGGGGCCTAAGGTTGTGTAAACAGGGTGCACAAAAATAATTACATATTTTGACAAGCAGGACCAACAGCCTATCATAAAGTTTGGACCGAATGTTTTTAATGGGTTACCTTTTCTTGGTCCTACACCTTTCACAGAGTATTTAAATACAGTAGATATAAATTCAGTTCATTCTATGATTGATATCAGGATGTGAAGATACTTTCTACCAAAAAAAAAAATGTTTCTGAAGACAGTGACCATTCACACCTTTAAATGCTAATGCCAAACAAAATAATAACATGTCAATGTAATAATATTACAATTTTGTACTATTGTATACTAAAATAATTAACTATGTTATGTTGAGAGAGTCTGACAACACACCTCTAAAAGCACATCAATGAGATGCAACTCTGGTGTTTGCACACATTTTTGAATATTATGCGACATGTACTATCTTTGTTATACAGTTGCTTTGATTGATTGACTCTGATTGTTTCACATTTGTGAGTGACTTGAGTTGAAAATGCTTTACAAATATACCCCTTCACCATCACCACAAGAGGGCAGCATCCTTTAAAGTGTAAGAGCATGTGAACTGAGAGTTCAAATATTAAGAATCGAGCAACAGAAGAGAGGAAACAGAGCTACAGATAAGACAGAAAGACATTCATTACATTAAAATGAAAATGGAAAAACTGATTTTTATTATGCTTTTGTTCACAACACAGGACTGTGGTAAGGAAGTGAATCATTTACACTTATAAATTTGTTTATGTGGGAGTTTGTTACATTACAAGTCATTAATTTTTATTTTTTCCTCCAGTGTGTAGGGCGCAAGACAGAGTTGAACAGCCTACAAGAAAAAAGACTGAAAATGAAGGAGATCAAATCACTTTAATGTGTAATTACACTACTACTTCTACAAATGCAGATGTTTATCTCTTCTGGTACAAACAGCTGCCAGACAGATCCCCAACATTCATCCTGAATAAATTTCCATTTAGTGAAGGAACTATTGAGCCTGAGTTTAACAAGAGATTTTCAGCAAAACTGAATTCAACATTAAGAACAGTTCCTCTGCTGATCCAGGATCTGCGAGTATCAGACTCTGCTGTGTATTACTGTGCTCTGAGGCCCACACTGACTCAAACATAATAACATTCTGACAAAAACTCAGAGCTGTAAAGTGTGCAGTTTCTCACATGAGCTTGTTTTACACTGATCTAGAATAATAAGTGTAACAGTGGTTGGAGTTTATTTACACTGCTGAGAGTGAAAGAGTTCAGTCAAACACTGTTTCTGCATCACTGACTCTATGAAGACAATATGTTTCTCTTCATCTACATTATAATACAGCTTTACATGGGTAAGAGATATTCAGTCGATCAACTTAAAAAAAAATATGTGAAGCTTTGTATTTCTTTTATTTTATCACTTTTTTCAATTTTTTTAATCACTCTTTTCTACAGGAATGTCTTTTTCAGATGAAATACATCCCCTGTCTTCAGATAAACATGTAGCTGAAGGTCAAAATGTGACTCTATGTTGTAATTACAGAGCCAGTACTGGCAATGTTGACTCTCTCCTGTGGTATCGTCAGTATCCCGGAGCAAACCCAGAGTATTTACTGCTGCTCAATGAATATTCAAACAGCACTAAGTCTTATCTTCGTCTATTTTCAAACGCTGTAAAAGCACTGAAGCGTGTGGATCTGCTGCTCTCCTCTGCTGCAGTATCAGACTCTGCTGTGTATTACTGTGCTCTGAGGCCCACAGTCACAGGAAACACACAAACACTGAACAAAAACCTAAAGCACATCTAAGAGTTATCACACTAGTGTAAACACATGCTGTAGTGAACAGGTAATTTTAAAAAAATACCCTTTTCAACCAATTCTACCAATGCAAGGTTTAATTGTACAGTCAGTTTATGAGGCATACACAAAATGATCAACAAATCTGAAAGTAGAAAAATATTTATAGCATCTTCTTCTAAAAATTGGTGTTTAGAGTCATGTGGCACTTCATCAGTAACATTTATAACAGCAATGCATTACAAGAACAAACACATATTACATTAAATAAAAAAGGTGTTGTGTTTCATTGTAATGACTCAAACATAGCTTTTGGTAAAAATATAGCTAAAATTCAAGGATTCATGTGTTTGACTGTCACAGTGACTGAAAAACATTTAACACTCACTCAACACACAAAACATAAAGACCATTCAAAGGTTTAACTGCCATTAAAACCAACTATTAGCAATTACATCAAGATAACAACATATTCAAAATAGGCTCCTATATTCTTTGGTTTAAAACATTCTTCTTGTCGCAATCACCAGCAATCTAGCCTGTGTGTATCGCGGAAGAACTACACATATTCCACTAATGAACTACAACCCCCATCATGCACACCAGACACACCAGTTCTTAATTTCACACACACACACACCTGGAAGCTTATGATGGACTAATCAGATGGACCATATAAACAGCACACACAGACTTTTCCAAGTATTGTTTATCTGTTAAAGAGCATTTCAATGTGTTTACTTGTCCTGCCTTCCGTGTGTTTGACCTTTGCTTTGTTCATAGTTTTATTTTGTTTTGCTCCCAGTCCCGACCATTCACCTGCATTTCTGACTATGCTTTGGATTACTTGTATGCTCCAGTTTGCTCCTGTTTTGACCATTCCCTGGCTGACTATTCTTTTTAATAAAGCTACACGTCGATCCTTATCACTATTGTTCCCGACCCTTTACACTTCTAAATTTCTTTAGAATATTTAACAGTGACATAAATGTATGCCAACTTTAATTGAAAATGAAATAAATTAATCAAATAAATTTGAAAAAAGTTCTGTTGTTTTTAATTGTGCTTTATAAATAAATATTTTATTGTATTGTGAATTAACTACATGTCAAATGAGCTCACCCACACTATTTAGAAAAGTAGAGCTCCTCCCCAATGCAGATATTTATACAGAGCATGCATCTATTTTTATTATGCATTCTATTGCAGATGCAGAACGAATGATACATATAATAGTTTACCCTTATACATTATTAAAATTAGTTTAAACTGAGGTATCAACATGGAGAGATGTCTGCTGGTGATAGTCATTACAGTTTCAGGTAAATATAATTTTTGACCGCAATAAACTGCTGATGTGTTGACTTGTTAAATGTACTATTGCCTTAAATTTTATTGCAGGTGTATTTGCTGACAGCATTCGTCCAGACAAGGACACTAATATAATCAGAAGTGAAGGAGAGTCTGTGACACTGAGATGCTCGTATGAAACAAACAGCAACTATATTAGACTTTACTGGTACAGACAGTATGTTAATACCGAACCTCAGTATTTACTGTGGAAAGGAGCTCGATCAGACAGCGACTATAAGAATATACCAGACAGTCGATTTGATTCAATTACATCCCAAACCTCCACTGAACTCATTATTAAGAGTGTATCTCTGTCAGATTCAGCTCTCTATTATTGTGCTCTAAGAGTAAGAGCCCAGTGATACAAAATGCCTGAGAGGCTTTACAAAAACTCATTAACCACTGTTACTGTGAACAACAGCAATCTAATGAGAATCAAACCACACACAATCTCCTGTAAACCACAGAGAATGTAAATGAGAGAATATGCAAACACCTGCTGAACAATGAAGAGAGATGTTCATCAACTAAACGAAAAGTTAACTAAACTAATTAAATAAAATCTTAACAGTATTGCATTCATCATTACATTAGGACTGGGCCGATTAATTATATTAGATCAAATCACAATAAAATTTATGTTCATAACAATGATAAGCTCTGGACTTTTTTTACTCTATATTGACCTAAGAGCCAGTCACACAGCAGAATAATGCAACAATGGAAATTTAAGTGTGTTGATATAAGAGATGTACTGAATTGTTGGCCACCGAAAATGTATCTTATGAAAATATGTTATGCCATTTAATGGACCCTCTAAATTTTATAAGTTCAGTCATTGCTGGGGTACTCTTCAATCTGGAAGCATTAACATCAAAATATGCATCATTATTGTTCAATAAGGAAAATAATGATCAAGATTGTATTTTTGCTACATCGCCCAGCCCTACATTAAAATGTTACCGTTTTAAAACACAAAAACATGTAATGCAAATTCTTTGAAAGCACAAACAGAAGCACACTGACATGAATATGATATAGGCCATGTCCACACATACCCAAAATATCTTTATATACAGAGTTTTCCCTGCTTTTTTTTTTTTTAATTTGTCCACATAACAATGCAAAACGCACTGTGCTGCACATTAAGACCACTCCTTCTGCTTTTGATGTGAACCCAGCCATGTGGACCAATCAGAAAAGAGAAAACAGCAAGCATGTTGATGTCATGAGGTGAAAATTCCAGTTGTAGTGTTCACATGACAACAATGTACCCAGAGTTTTGGAAAATCTTCAACCAGGCCTGAGTTTAAAAATTTTTTTTAGGATCAGTCACACAATATTCACTTTTTGTGTGTGGATAAACAGTGAAACCGTGTTTTAAAAAAGTGCAGTTTTGACAATACCTCATCAATGTTCATGTGGACAAGGTCTAACTCTTTTATCTGTGACTGCTGAAACTTTTGTAAAAAATCTGCTTTAATTTTCATCATCTTCATCTTTATCTACAGTAGGTAGGAGCTGAGCTTTGCTGGACAGTTGCCATCCATTAGCAGAGTTGAAGAACTGCTGTATTTTTTGTATAATATAAAAAATAAAGTTTCTCTAAAGATGCATGACTTTTTTTGTCTTAGTTTATACATTAAACTTATCATCATTAATATTGTTTTAGGAATAAATACCAGAATTTGTTACGATATAAAATTAAGTCCATAAAATGTGTTTTATATAGTATTACTTTTTTCACAACAATAAAATACTGTTCATAATATGTTAAAGGGCACTGCTCTCTATAGTTTTACAGCTTATAAACTGCTTCATAATCAGCAAAAGATTCCAAATGTCACTGAAAAAAAAGAGAAAAAAAAATTTCACCACCAGAGGGAGTCAATTTTGTGTATGTGTGTGTGTGTGTGTGCCTGGATATTTTCAACAGCTGCAGACACACACACACACACACAGAGAAGCTAGTAAAGACATTATCTATACAAGAGACTCGCATCAGTTATCTCACACACTCTTCAACAATGATAAAATGGGTGATTTTTGCTCTTTTCTTCACATCACATGATTTTGGTAAGTAACCACCTTCATCATTTTCACTTTTTGTTACTATTTGATTTGCTCAGTATCTGTAAATGATTGTTAATTTACTGTATGTCATGTGTATTTCCAGTATGTGGGGAACAAGACAGTGTTGATCAGCCGGACAGAGAACTGACTTCTGCTGAAGGAAATGAAGTGATTTTATTGTGTAATTATAAACTGATGAGCGCTGCTAATGCATATCTCTACTGGTACAAACAACTACCAGACACATCACCAGCATTCATTCTGAGTGAGTTTTCCATCGGGAAAGGAAAAGCAGAGCCTGAATTTAAGGACAGATTCTCAGCAAAGTTGGACTCCAAATTAGAAACAGTTCCTCTGACAATCAAGGATGTGCGTGTGTCAGACTCTGCTGTGTATTACTGTGCTCTGCAGCCCACAGTGACTCAAACACACTTAACACTCACACAAAAACACTGTAAGCAGTAACGTATTCTAAAACTCCCACCAGATGTGATGCAAACTACAACTTCCAGTAAAATGTCGGTCAGCTGATATCCTTATTGCACTTAATAAGGAGTGATTCATTGATTTATTTTTTCACTTGATTTGATTAAAAGACACAGATATTGTTCACATTTGCCAAATGCTAATATAAAACTTCTAAACACAACAGCTGTAAAAATGCTGCTGTCCAAGTCTCCTATGCTAAGTCATATAACAAAAATAGTTGTTTTGATACTACTGTCACATGAGATGATTTCAAATGATAATTTCTATTCATTCTATTATTTACTTTTTTATTTTTCTACACATTTTTAAGAATTCACACTAGGCATGGGACGATAACCGTTTTCAAGGTATACCGCGGTTTGGTAATTTCAAGGTTTTAAAACCGCCAAAATGTTCTGCAATACCATTACTTAGGTATGTGTAAGATTTTTTATTTCCTTTTTTTTTCAAGACAACAGTGTCTTCAGCAGAAAAAAATATCCAAAGATGCAGTTTTAAATTGTAAAGAAAGCTGCCTTTGAAACTAATGAAGACAGCAGAAGTCAATGATTCAGTTGAATTATTTAGCCTGGCATGTTTACTGCTCCAAAATATTATAAATCTTTCAAAAAATAAAGTATATTATTTTTAAAGGGGAAAAAAGTTTTTTTTTTACCCAGACATATAAAAAGAATATATTTTAGAGCAGTAATCACAATACCGTGATATAGTGAAACAGTGATATTTTTTATCCAAAGTTATTATACCGTTAGAATCTTCTACCCGTGTCTAGTTCACACTTAGATATTGCATGATATTATTAGCAGGTTTGGCATGTTGTGTTGGTAGAGAAACCCAGAGCTCTGAGATAATTGAGCCCAGGGCTCACGCCTGGTCAATGAGCATGTGAGGGGGTACGAGATGAGGTAGTTCTCAAGATTCCAGGTAAAGGAGGAAAAGGGGGTGGATGGGGGGATTCTTTAAAAAAACGAAGATAAAAGAAGCAATACTAGACGGGCTATTTATAGTGAGTTTGGATTAATCCGATAGGCTTACTAATGACAATGGAAGGGAGACGAGTCGCGATCAATCAAAACACGTGCTCCTCTTTAAATTAGTCATCACATGTATTAGACAATTTAGACAAGTTCCCTCAAATGGTTTAAAGATTTTTTTTTATTTGTTATATTGTTTCTTTATTTACATTTCTTTAGTAATGAAAGCTGGCCATCAAACCATCATTTTTTACACATGCTAATTTTCATAATCATAAGATATGTAATATTACTGCATATTAATATTTAGGTTTTAAGATTTGAATGTGCAGAACCAGCATCATTTAATCTGACCTTTCATATCAATGACTGCAATCAAAAAATATACAAGAGGTTTTATTAACAGGTATTCTTTTATATATTATGGTCAGAAGGAAAAGTCACACAGTTTGATAATGAGTAAATAATGCTAAATTTCATCATTAGTAATGATGTCACTGAGCACACCCACACATTCAGAAACTGCAGAGCTCCTCCTCACTGCAGACATTTATTTATCCAATTTCTTCATTTTTATAACTTTTAGTTTATAAGCAAATGGAGAGAAAAATACATCACTAAAACCATATTGAAAACAGTTTAACCTGAGATATCAACATGGAGAGATGTCTGCTAGTGATTGTCATTACAGCTGCAGGTAGACACAATTCTCACTTTAACAATAGCACAAATGATAATGTGACTAATGTGATCATGTAATGTTTCAACTTTCATTGCAGGTGTATTTGCTGACAGCATTCTTCCAGACAAAGATAGTAATATGACGAGTAATGAAGGAGAGTCTGTGACACTGAAATGCTCTTATGATACGAGCAGCAATAATGTTTTGCTTTACTGGTACAGACAGTATGCTAATACTGAACCTCAGTATTTACTGTGGAAAGGAGCTCGATCTAACAGCAACTATAAGAAAATACCAGGCAGTCAGTTCGATTCCATTACATCCCAGACGTCCACTGAACTCATTATTAAGAGTGTATCTCTGTCAGATTCAGCTCTCTATTATTGTGCTCTAAGAGTAGGAGCCCAGTGATACAAAATGCCTGAGAGGCTCTACAAAAACTCATAAACCACTTTTACTGTGAACAACAGCAATCTAATGAATATCAAACCAGACACAATCTCCTGTAAACCACAGAGAATGTAAATGAGAGGAGCTGTAAACACCTGCTGAACAATGAAGAGAGGCGTTCATCAACTATGTGAGAACCATTTTTAAAAATATCATAAAATAGCAGCAAAAGCAAGGAATTCACTAATGTAACACTGTCAGATTCTACTCTCTATTATTGTGCTATTAGTTGGATTCAACATAATTCCTCTGCAATAGTAATTTTTCCCCTTGAGAATATCTAAAAGCAATAAAACACTGTTGGAGCTTACAGAATATTATATATATATATATATATATATATATATATATATATATATATATATATATATATAATTATAATTAATATAAGATCCAACAGCGTTTCATTGCTTTTAGATATTATACATATATATTTGGTTCAACAGTGCCTATAGAAAAAAAATCCTCGAACCCTGTGAAAATTTAAAGAACTTTAGTTTTTTTTGTAGAAAGACAAAGGTTAGGAGAAGGCTACAAAAACATTTCGAAAGCTGGAAAAGTTATTCATTTATTTGTTTATTTATTTATTTGGCAGGGACAGTGTGCATTAAATAGCAGTGCTGCAAAAGCACCAGAATTAGCCAGAAGGCTAACCGTTGTCCCTGGAAAGATGTTAAAATTGTCAACCTAAAAACATTACAAACATTATAAAAATCAATCAAGCAGTCAAAAACCACTAAAATAGACATAGTTAAGTAGATCTTAATAAAACATGTAAAAAAAAAAGACTAAAACACCAACATTATGTAATAGAGATTTATTTGACTGAAATGTGATTTTATTTGTTGATTGTTGACTTAGCTGGACGACAAATAAAATATTTATTTTAAAGGGGTATGACGACTTTTTCATAGGCACTGCATATAAATTAAAATGCATAATGGTAATATAATAATTTATAATTATTAATATAATAATTTAATATTTCAATGCATTACATTTAGGCTCAGGTGTTGATTATAGTTAGAAAAAAATATGGTAATATATTACATCAATGTTGCTTTAATAAAATAGGTTGAAGTTTTTATCAATATGGTTTGTGTTACCAAATGAGTAAATTCATACATCAATGTTTGCATAGTCCTATATATGGCAAATATAAGAGATGACATTCTGCAATACCTAAAACACACCAATAGAGGGTGATATCGACCTCATATTTACAGTATGTTTCTCTGGCACTATGCTGAGCTCCTCTGTATTATTACTGACAGCTCCAAAGTTGTCAATGACAGACTCACAGTTTCAGGATTGGGTTGAAGTGCTTGGATAATACTCCATCAAACAATGGATCTGTGGCTGGAGGTGATGATTTTTTCATTACTTATAACTGGTATGTACAAGTATTTACTTATCTAATGAAGTTTTATTTATTTATTGTTCATAGGTATGTGTTAAAGTAGCATTTGTAACAACATCATCATTTATTTGCAGAATGCAGACCAGATAGTGTTAATCAGCCAGACACACACGTAACTAAATCTGAAGATGGAGCAGTGACATTACAATGCAAATACACTGCAACTTCCACAGCAACACCAGAACTGTACTGGTACATCCAGAGAGAACATGAAATTCCCAAATACATCCTGAGGAAAAACAAATATGAAGGAGAAAATGGCACAGAGTTTCACAAGAGATTTCATGTTGAATTAACAACGGATTCAGTTCCTCTGCTGATCAAAGATCTGCGTGTGTCAGACTCTGCTGTGTATTACTGTGCTCTGAAGCCCACAGAGACTCAAACGCTCTCAAGTCTTTGACAAAAACCTTCATCAATGCTAATGACATGCATCCATTCTTCCTTCATTGTCATACACGCATATGCAAAAACATATTACACAAGTGTTTTTAAATTACTAATGCATGTTTTAATAATAAAAAAACTGCTCAATGACAGTAAGTGGATAAAAAAAAAAAATGATTTAGTGACAGAAAAGAGGGCGGGACTTCGTAACAATCCACACCCACATTATTAATATATGTAGCACACCATTTCTCCAGAGCACTGATATGATTTATTTGCACTATTAAAAGTAGTCAGGGTGTAATTTATGCTTAAAAACTGCTATCTTTACTACAAAAACAAATCTGAAAATCAGCATGGAGATATATATATTGGTCCTTTTCACAATTATGTCAGGTAAAACAAACTTAGGTAACAAAAAACAAAATTTACATGAGTGTTAAGCATAACATATATACTAATGATTCCTCAATCATTCTCTTTTCTTGGTTTATTGAAACTATTGTGGTTTTAAAGTGTCTTCTATTGCTATCAGGTGTGTTTTCTGACAGCATTGGACCAAAAGATGAAGACAAACATATAATCAGGAGAGAAGGAGAGTCGGTGACATTGAGTTGCTCATATGAAACACAGAGCAATAATGTTTGGCTTTACTGGTACAGACAATATACTAACAAAGAACCTCAGTATTTACTTTTGAAAGGAGCTCGATCAAATAGCAGATCTGAGGACAGACCAGATCATCACTTTCAATCATCTACAGGCCAAACCACCACAGAACTAACAATTGATAAAGCAGCTCTGTCAGATTCAGCTCTCTATTATTGTGCTCTAAGAGTTGGAGCCCAGTGATACAAAATGCCTGAGAGGCTTTACAAAAACTCAAACACACAAATCTTCCTCTATTACTCCGTAATCAAACGTTTATCACACCACATGTTCCACAGATACTGTAAATAACAGAAGGTGGTTACACCTGCTGTATAAACCAATGAAGAGAAAAGTGAAAACAATATGATAAGGAAATAGACCAAGCTGTTGACATGATAATAAAAGTGGATTT